TTTGGTTCATTTACTGCCTTGTTATAAAAAGTGTGGCTGTCACCGTCATGGAGAGAGATGTGTAGGGGAGGCACTTGGCGATATGGCCTTGTTTGTTTATGTGTTTATTCTGTTTACAATAAAAGGAGAAAGATGATAGTATTGCTTTCTACTGGTTAGTTGTGTTTGTGTTTTTGCAAATGTGTTATTTTTGAGGCCGATCTGGCTCCATAGTTCTTCCCCCTAAATGTTGTGTCAAAACCTTTTGTTTTTTGATTTATCAGATTATACCTTATACCTTTCGTTCCGGAAATATTTCTTTATTTTGACAATATAACTATCATTGATGCAACTGCTGATGCGAGCAGTAACGGGGTTAAGCTGTTTTACGGACGAAACAAAAGCAACGTCTAAGGAGCTTTCAGTCAGACAAGAGCTAGTTTATTCAGCGTATATACATATGTTTTTAGTCGTGAGAACACTTCACAATGAGGCCCATTTTATTAGCATTAGTTAATGCTGGTCTCACTAACATTAAACTAGGTTTAATATCAACATTAAACGTTTAAACTAAGTTTAAAATCAACATAAACGGATTTACATTAGATCATGGAAGTAGGTATTATTATAATTATAAATGAATAAACTATAAAATTGACATTAACCTAGATAATTAAATGCGGTGAATATATGCTATCGCATTAAACCCTATTGTGAATGTTGCTATAACTGATTTTCATAAATATTGGCTCTAGTCGTCTTATGTCCAGGGTTGCACGGCATTTTGATTTGTGACATTTTAAATCATTTAGGTCTTCCCGAATGTGAAAAAAAAACAAAAAAAAAAACACTTACACTAAAAATAGTACAACCCAACCAGTATAACACTGGACCTTGACTTATGCAAGGCTTTATTGGAATTTCATCCAGGTTACAAGAACAGACACTTGGTGGCACCATCTTACAATTTTTACATTTATAGCAGCAGCTGTTGAACAGGCCCATCAGACTCCACAGAAATAGATTTACAGCGTTTTACACCCTAGGGTCTCACCAAGTAGGAGTAAGAAATTAACTGCCATGTAGCTTTTAAATTATAATTTAAAAAACAAGATGTCTAGTAATGACCTATTATCAATTTAAGTGCTAGGATCCAAAAATTGATAGTTTAACAGGCTTAGAGATAAAACCACTTCTAATTTAATTACTTTGACATCAAATATGACTTGCAGTCCCTTTTGCATGCTACAGCATAATCCTGTGCTTGGTGTCCTTTTTTGAGAATAAAACCAATGTCCCATTTCACTCATTTAAAAAAAATTTTTTTACCAGATATTGTACTAGCAGTGCACAAAGACAAGGAAACAATCATACATTTCAATGCTTTTATTTTGTCATTTTGAACAAAACAAAAAAAAAAAAAACAGGT